TATTGTGTGACCCCGGGGTCAACAAACCCGATGGTAGGACAGATTTCGAATATTTCAAGCACACAGTGTTGCAGTACACGAACACCAAAAAATGTGCACACCATTCTGCCTGAGCAAGAATAACGAGCATGTATTATCTTTGGCTAAAGAGTAATATTTTCATAGTTTTTGCCTGTATTTTGGGAGTTATGTCACAGTCATATTTACTCTGTGAAACACACACGTACCATTTATTTCAGTGCATTTTCTCTGAAAAATCATCTTGTTCACCTGAAAATCCACTTTTCTCAATTGTCCTAAATAGTTCTTCTACCTCCCCTCGTTTGTACCCACCCACACTCACTCCACTCTTTGATAGACTGTTTCATATATGCCGCTGATATCTTCCGGGTTGCATGTCTATCAATGTTCTTTTGACCGTTTATATTTTTGTCCTACCCTCGTTGCTAGATAGGTTACGTATCTGCAAATAGAATTACATCGCGTCTGACATTAATTCGGGGATCGGGAATTTCAATTTTATATGACAAGTCTCAGAAGACATTATTCAAAATGTACAAGGTGCTATGAAATAACAATGAGTTTCATTTGGGTAATTAGCATGTACAGTACTCATTCAGCCCAACCTCCGGCTTTTATCGCTTTTTTTTCGACCGCTTATCGCTTAATTTCCGACCGCTTTTTTTCCGCTCGCTCGCTTTTGTTCCCTCGCTCGCTCGCCTTTGTTTAATGCATTTGTTTGATGCTGACATTTGAGGTGGAATAACTACTCACAAAATTGTTCAGTGAAAGTATCAATACTGAAAAACTACAAAATTTGATTTGGTTTTAGGATGCAGCTGTTGAACATTGTAAAAACTCAAAATTGTATACTTGAGGCAGTTTTGTTCAAAATCTGTCACAAGTTACACAACTCGGTAATTTTGGATTGTCAATTACCCCTCAGTATTAATAATTTTAATGAATTATTTAAAAGAAAACTTGATGACAAAAAAATCATTAACAAAGAAGACAGCAATAAATACTTACAAGTTATTTAAAAGAAAATAATTATGTATTATGAGCTTTATTTGGATAATACTAAAAATAAATAAATATATAAACTGGTTTTAACAAAATTACGAGTTTCTGCCCATCAAATGCTTGTAATTGA